ATCTGCCCTACCCTGAAACACCACTTGCAATGAAATGATTATGCATGGCAAAAAAAAAAAAAAAAAAAATCAGAAGCACAATTCTTCCTATAATCTATCCATTTAACCATGGTAGCCCATTTTCCATGCTGATGACTTAGCAACAACCTGAAACACGTTTTAGGTAGCTCCCCTTCACAGAAACACTTAGTTCTTATAGAAGCTCTCAGACTGTAATTAAAAGTGTTTCATAACACTTCCATGTTTTACAGATGCATGATCACATATCAAGATTTGGGATGTGATGGTCAGGTAGAAATTTCTGACCCACATACTAAGGCAAGCTGGAACAGTTTAAGCATCCAGTCTCCAATGAAGGGGTACAGACAGCATCTACTTGTAATGTTACTAAATGGTGTTAACTCATGGTTCTGATAGACTTCGCCTCCTCCACCTTTCTTAGCTCAAAGTAAAAAGAAGCAAAGCCTAGAAGTCAAGCAAAATGAAGAAGGTAACACTTGCAGAATAATTTTTTGTAAAGACTTGTGAAGACCAGTTGTGTCCACTGAAAGGCCACCCACACAAGTGTCCAAGGCTGTGGCAAAGCCCTACACAGAAAGATGTAGCTTAGTTCATTTTAGACACTTTTCATTTGTAGCTACTTACAGCAGCAATTAAGCAATTTTACCTATAAAGAGTTCTGAATGCAAGAGCAAACAGCACTTAGCAATAAAAATTTTGATGAGGTCACCTGAGAAACACTGCAGAACACTAGTTCAGAGACCACAGACTACTAATGTGGCAGAACATAGCTTGAAAGAAGAATTCTGCATACAGATCGTAACATCAAGGCTTGCTTAGACTCCAGTGCCAACAACTTTAAGCAAAACCCTAGCAGATAGCTTTGACAATGTCTGTTTATCAGGTCTTAAAGCCCCCTCAAACACAATGTAACTTCTGCATAAACAAAAGAACAATGATATCAAGAGTGTCTGCAGCAAGTACATATAAATGGCTGTATGCAAAATTGTGTACGAAATACATCTTATCCTAGCTGTACCACCCATGACTGGCCTCATTTCATCTAACTACCAGAACAGCTTGAAAGAATTCAGAGGCAGAACACATTACATAAGCAGAAGACATTCCTTTTAGCAATGAACTTCACAGCTGGATATTAGGAAAAACATCTTCCCAGGAAGAACAGTGAGGCATTGGAACAAGCTGCTCCAGAGTCACAGTCTCTGGAGTTGTTCAAGAAAAAGGTAGATGTGGCACTGAGAGACATCGTTAGGGGACATGGTGGTAATGGGTTGGCAGTTGGACTAGACTAGATGATTCTAGTCTAACGTTAATGATTCTATGATTAATGTCCAAATAGATGTGAAAAACTTATATCATCTATGATCATTTCAATTACACAGGTACAATCTTAAAGTCATGTTAGGCAACTATTTCTGAATCATGGGAGGTGGTTTCTTCTGACTAAAGAAGAAAAAGCTAACTTTGGGGAGGTGTGGTGGCAGATGTTAACTTACAGTCCCCAGATACCAAAGGGACAGGTAGAAAGGGAAATGTCAAGAGAAAAGAATGGGCCAAGCTCACCCCCACAACACACAGAAAGAGAGCTGAGACAAAGGACAAAACTGTAGCAAGGGAAGTTACAGAATTAAGACAGAAATATTTAGTCAGGGTAGCCAAACACTGGGACAAGCTGCCCAAAGAGGTTGAAAAAATGCATCTTCAAAAATACAGCACAACATGATCCACCACCAGAAATAGTCCTGTTCTGAGTAGGAGAAAGAGTCATCATTATGAAGTTAACTGTGTGTCTTTTAAAAACCATGAAGAAAAAGTTATGAAATTTTCCACTAGCAATAATCCAGGCTAAGATGACACTATGGATAAATAGCAAGCAGACTCAAGCCCAAAGGGTGAGTCAACAGCTTGCTGATGTCACAGCCAGGAATAGAGCTCAAATCTTTTTCTTCCCCCTCTCGTCTTCTGTTAGTAAGCAAGGCAAAGGAAGGACTATTTTTGTGTTCATGCACAAAATACAGTAAGATAAATATCACCATAACCATATTTGAGAAACAACATGGTGGTTGTTGTTTTTTTTTAAACTTTAATTTTGTCAAAAACTCCAGTTTTTATTTTTCTAGGTTACACACAGCTGTAAGCCACAAGATTTCCCATGTTTTTTTTTGTTTGTTTGTTTAATATTGAATTCAACATCATTGTACACTTTATAAAGAAATTTAGACTACTACACAGAAAGTATTCACACACTGCATTTCACTAAGTCTGTTTCACTTATTGCTTTCCTAACTAAGCAAGAAAAGCTCTTCAGGTATTTTCACTTTCTGCAAAGTGCCAAGCACATCTGTCTTGCCCCCTTTGCCAGGAACAACTCAAGCCTGTGAGCTGGAAAGCTATCTGTATTATTGTTGTTTAAACTGTTCAAGTGGAAAATAACACCACTGAGGAAGAGAGGAGGCAGAATCAGCAGCACAGGTAGGAAGATGGTTCACAAGGAACAGTGAACTTCAACATCTAGGAGCTGAGTTGTATCATGTCTGCACAATTTTCCTACATTGAAAAGATTGCTATTTTTACAATACACACTAAGAATTAGCCCTTCCTCCCTAGCTATGACCACAAGGCAAGCAGTTAACAGTTGATCAATTAATAGTATTGCTTAGCAGTACATACTACTAGCTGCCTCATCACCACCTTTCCTTCTTTATTTAGGATATAATCCACTGGTTTTCTCAATAATATGCCCTGCAATTGCAGGATCAAAATTTAAGCAACCACTTAAAATAACTGCTACCCTTTCAGAGGCATAAAAATGTTACTAAGATTCAAGACTATGTGCAACTTTATTTTGTACACACAGTTGAAGCTTCAAAAGTAAATACACTTCTGCCTCTGGACAGCTTGCCAGGTTTTATTTTTCTTCACACTTTCACATGAAGGATTAGTTACATGAATACAGTATCATTATGTAACTGTATTAACCATAGTATTAATCCATACAGTATGCAACTCAAGGACTGCTCTCAGTTCTAATTCCCATCTCACAAGGGAAGGATCACAGAAAACATGGCACAGACACATAGGTCACCTTCTAACAACCAGTTGAACATATTAGGATTCCTGAGCCTGGAACAAAGATTACAAAACTACACACTGCTCAGGATCTTAAGACATAGCAGAATTGGGCAGAGTCATTCACCTTTTGCAGCACAAGAATCTGAGAGCAGAGAGTTAAACCAACACACTGAAGCTCCAGGACACTCCAAAGAACCAGTTCTTTACACAAGTAACAGTCAGGCTAGGAAACTCCTTCCTCCCCAGCATTCTTGATGCAAGAGCAATTGATAAAAAGCACACCTGGAGCTATTAAATACACTATGAGTCACAGTTTGTGGAGCTGGGATGAGTATTGCATGGACACCAACAGGCACTTTGGTCTGCCTCCTACCCCCGAGCATTCTCTCCCATAGCATAAACAGCTGGACTGACTGAGCTTTGAGTAAAACATTTCATTTATAACAGGTTGTCACAGAAATTGTTTCTCTTTCAAAAGAAATTATGAGCTTACAGATTTCCACAATAACTTCATTGTTAAGGAATGGCTTGAGTTTCAGAAGACAGTAACAGAATAGACAAACAGAATCATCTGAAGTTCTGTATGCAAGATGGATAAACCTAAAAAAAATACAACAGTTCTGCAAACTCACTGTTTCAGCACAATCATGCAAAAACTCTGGTCTCTACAATTTAGATGGCAGGCGCATCTGGGCTTCCAAACTGCTTTAACAAGCAGTTTTATTAAGTCAGAGCTGTCTAGTCATACTTCCTACACACAGGCATCCTACTGAAAGAATCAGGTGTCTTACAGCACTGCTGTAAACAGAAATCTGCCAGGAATCACTGCTCAAAACACTCCGTTATTCAGTCATTAAGTGATTACAGCTGGAGAAAGTGTGCTATAAGCTAACCTAGCAGTTTACTCAATTCTTAATCCCATTTTACAAGACCTAGCTGTGCCAGTAACTCTGCCAGAAGCCAAAGGACACCTAGCAGCCCTAAACCAAACATGCTATTTGTAACACAGCAAGGAGAAAAAAAGAAGGAAAAAAAAAAAAAAAAAAAAGCTAAAATAATGATAAAACCTCAAACTGCCTCCCTGCCTCATATGGAGGTTTCTCCAGACTTTGAGGGCACAGGCCATCACACTTTTGCTTATTAAGGGACTGCTAACAAAATGGAAACCATTGAGGTGTAGCAGGGAAGACCCAAAATCCCGTTCAAAAGCTGCTAATGGGGATTTAGTGACAGCTGAGCAGGACTTGAAAAGGCAATAGGGACATCGGGGGGGAGACCTGCACCAGTACGGTGCTCTGTCTGCTGCAAGCCTGACCAACACCTGAGCTGGAAGGAAGGAATACACCAGAAAGAAAGAGGCCCAGACTAAGTTTATTTACAAGTTACCACAACTGGACTACAAGAACATTTAATTAGCAACAGCGGCCTTACAAACTACGTCCACAACCGTAGAACACATTTCTTCCCCACCCCCAACACGCAGGAGCTCGCGAACGAGCCATCCCCGCCCCGGCTGCATGGAGAAGCGCTACCACTTTCAGGCGGTCCCAAGGGGCACGAGCGAGACGCCAAAAGACGCGCTGCGGCCACCAGAGAGACACCGGCGACGGGACGGGACAGCCCGGCCACCTCCATCGCTTGGGGTACCCGTGCAAGCGTCCCCCGTCCCTCCAGAGAGACCGCACCGGCTGAAAAAACCCCCACCACCCTCAGAGCGGTGCGAATCGCCTTATCCTCGCCGGGGCCGGAAGCAGAGCCGCGCCGGCGCAGGGACAGCCCACTGCCGCGGGGAGGGGTGCATCCGCCGCCCCCCGCCCGATCCTGCGCCCCCGGAGGCGGGCGGCCGTCGCCTGCCAGCCCGCAGCTTGTGGCGCAGGTCTAGTCCGCCGCTATGCCGGGGCCTGTACCTGCGCTGGAAGTCCTGCTCGAAGGGGGCCAGGTAGGGGTCCCGCTCCAGCAGCTCCGATAGCTTGGGCGCCTGCGGGCCTTGCACGCCGGAGACGGCCATCTTGCCGCCACGGCTCGGTGGCGCCGGGCACGGCCGCTATATACCTCCAGGCAGGGGGAGGGAGAGCGGGGGGGTCTCGGAGCGGGGCGGGCGAGGAGCCCACTGCCTCTCACCGTCCGGCGCCGCCCACCGGCGGGGGCAGCCCCGGGACCTGGAGCCGCCCGCCTCCGCCGCCACTCCCCACCCGCCGATTTGCCTCGCGGCCTTGAGCAGGGTGGGAGGCTGGGGCTGCGGGTGGCGATTCCCGGGCTCCCTGTAAGGGGTACGGGGTGCGAGTGCTGCGAAAAATTCCTCCGCCGCTCGGTGGGGCGCTGGGCAGCTCGCAGCCGAGCGCAGCGGCGCGGCTCTGACGGCATCCGTGAGCTCTCATAAAACGCTGCGTGTGTTTGGCGGAATGTTGGTTCTCGGGGGGCCAGAGGAGGCTTGAACAGAGTAGAGTGAGTTTAGTGGATCCTAAGGCAGCTGAATAGCACAGATAGATTACGAAGGGCACAGTATCAATCAGTGTGTCTCATTTTTGGATAGGCCTCCAGATATCCAAGGCAACTCTTTGCCAGCCTGACCGTGGCTGTAGGCCAGCGTCCAGCAGTACAGCAGTATTGCTTTGTTAATACACATACTGACAGTGTGTATTTACGGACCTCTTTTTGAATGCTGTCTAGCCACAGGTTATAAACTTCCCAACACTAGGGTACTTGACATTGCTTCCACAACCTTCTCCAAGATTTCTGTCTGTCCTTGGTTTGTAACTCGTCTGCCCTGCCTTGGCTTACTCTGGATTTAGAGTGGCTTCCTATTCTGCTGCCAGGTGACAGCCTGTAACAAACTGCAGCAGTTCATTTATAGCTTCTCCAAAAATTGGCTGCAGTGACAGTTTTCAAAATTATTTGTTTCATCAAATGGTATTCATTTAACTACGCTGTATTTCCTTCCTTGCAGCAGTTTGTAACCATGAACACAAAAATCCAAGTACTTTTCTCCTTTTGTACAGAGAACAGAAATTGTTCTCTGTCCCAAGAATCAGTGGCTCAGTGTCTGGATGGAGATCAGTGGTAAGTGGTGTCCCTCAGGGGTCAGAACTGGGATGAGTGTTTAATATCTTCATCCATGGCATCAATAACAGTAGGATTGAGTGCACCCTCAGCAAGTTTGCGGAAGATGCCAAGCTGTGTGGTGTGGTCAGCACATCTGAGGGACAGGATGCCATCTAGAGGGACCTAGACAGCCTTGAGCACTGGACCCTGGTCAACCTCATGAGGTTCAGTGAAGCTGTGTTCAAGGTCTTGTACCTGGGTCAGGGCAACCCCCTCTATCACTACAAAATGGCAGTGAAGGAATGGAGGGCAGCCCTGCAGAAAAGGACTTGGGGGTACTGATGGATGGGAACCTAGACATGAGCCAGCATTGGGCCCTCACAGCCCAGAAAGCCAACTGTATCCTGGGGTGCATCAAAAGAAGGGTGGTCAGCTGGTTGAGGGAGGTGATCCTGCCCCTCTACTCTACACTGCTGAGATCTTACCTGGAACAGTGTATCCAGATGTGGAGTCCTCGGTACAAGAGAGACATCCTGTTGGAGAGTATCCAGAGGAAGGCCCCAGAAATGATCCAAAGAATGGAATATCTCCTCTGTGAGGACAGGTTGAGAGAGCTGGGGCTGTTTAGCCTGGAGAAGAGATGCCTCTGGGGAGACCTGAGAGCAGCCTTTCAGTATCTAAAAGGGGGCTGTGAAAAGCAAAGGGGCAGACACTTTAGCAGGGTCTGTTGTGATAGGCCGAGTGGAAATTATTTCAAACTAAATGAGGGGAGACTTAGACTGGGTATAAGAAAGAAGGTTTTTACAATAAGAGTTAAGTTTTTTACAATGAGGCACTGGAACTGGTTGCACAAAGAGGTGGTGGCAGCCCTGTCCCTAGGGACATTCAGGTTTAGGCTGGACAGGACTCTGAGCAACCTGATCTGGTAGGTGTCCCTGTTCATTACAAAGAGTTAAACTAGATGACCTTCAAAGGCCTCTTAAACGATTCTAGGATTCTGTGAAATTGTTACATAATTTACCTCATCAGAAGGCCTGAGTAGTTTCTGTTTGTTTTGTGAAATAAATGGCATTAAACATCAGAGCTACCTGTCGTAACCAGCTTACAATAGGATTTCTTTTTTTTTCTCCCTCAGCGTCTGCGATTTCTTCAGTCTCCGTCAGGACTGAAAACCTGTTACATGCTTCAGAACTGTCTATGTAGCAGTGATTCCCTTGTCTGTGTTAAACCAAAGTTTAATAACTCTATCCTATTTCTGACATCATGCTATGCACATTATGTTTTCTTTTGCAAACTGTCCTTGCCATTCCCATAGTTATCTGGTTGGGCATGCTAAAAGGGGAGCAAATCCAGCTGTTAATCAAGAGCCAGTAACTTGTTTTTCACAATAGCTAGCATTTTACTCGTACTGCTGTTTGAGGCTTCCAGCTATTTTGGAGAGGTTGCCTGCTGCTGAAGAGGAAGGAAGGGGGAAATCCCTGCAGTCTTTGAATATACTACCATAGGAAACAGGAGCTTCATTTTGAGCACAGTCTGTTTGGTTTTTTTAATTATCGGAAAGCTCAACAGGTTCAGAGTGCCATTATTAGCTGTTTGGCATAGACACAAGAGAGGGATTTATAAATTGGCATTAGCAATTTATGTAAACAGTAGAAATATTGCTGTGACTTCTAGCTCCTTGGAGACAGAGACCCTTTCTTAACCTTTGATTGCAAGATTGTAAGCAGAAATAACACAGTATCCAGACTTGCATCCAAGTATCCTTGAATGTCAGGAAGTTAAATTCTTCAAGTAGCCCCAAGTGCTATATTTAATACCTTGTAAATTGAGAAATTGATAACCATTCTATTTGTATTTGTTCATGTTCAAGTTTACAACTGAGGTGTGATTTTTTCTGCCTGCTCAAAGACACAAAGGTATATATTACTGCGATCATCTATTCCGACACAGTCTGACTGAGACTCTAGGGCCAAATTTGGCTCTGAGGACATTGCCATTTAGTCTTCTACCTAGAGGCAAAAAGGGCACTCGAAACAATAAAAGTTGTCGCAGTAGATGAATGCTTCTTTGTATATTCGTCTGACATCCATACAAAGATAGCAGCTGCCAGTGGAGATAGGAAGAAGGGGTGGATGGTAATAACTGCTCTTATGGGGTACAGTAATCGATCTAAAAGGAGCGGTGTCCGAGACGTGTCTGGCACCCAGTTGCCACCAAGAACAGAACACTTTAAATTAGTCTTCCAAAGGATATTCATGATTAAGTTTTGTATACTTTAAAATGTTGCATAGCAGTGCTGTGCAATAACTAGTTACGATTCTTATAATGGTTTCTGTACAAAGTTCAAAAAGAAATCAAAGTTTTGTACAAAAGAACATTCAAGAACTGACTACTCATGTAATGCACTACAACAATTTTCATTTTCTCATATTTTACTTTTACTTGCAAAAACAAACTGAGATGCTAAACTGTAGGAATAAGGTTCTTTCTTTGAAGCACTGGTTCAAATTCTTCCCTCTATTGTGGCTCTCAGATTGGCCAGAGACCACCACATAGTGTTAGCTGGAGCCTGCAGGGAAACAGACATGGCAGTTGTCAAGGGTGACGTGTACCTAGTTTTCCTTCCAGTATAGGTATAAAGTGGGCATTGCAAACATCCAATACATTTCTTAATTATCACTAATCTACATAGTCTTTACATGTAGGTCAGACAATGGCAGTTGAGATTAAGCAAGTTTTTATCCCTGTCTTTGAGCTTTCCAAGGCTCTGCTGAGATGCAGGAGGAAAAGTGGGCTATGTTGCACAGTTGCTGAATCTCAGCAGCATGTCAGTTCTTTAATTAAAGCATAGTTTTGCAGTTTTTGTAAGGATTCAACTGTTAATTAATTACTTAGGAAGAATAAAGGATATAACCTTGAAAATTACAGCAAACATTCCATGAATCCATTAGTATATCCTTTAATTAATTTATGGTTAGGGAGTTTTGTTTTTGTTGGCTTTTTTTTTCTGTCAGTTTGTTTTAAGAAATGTATTATTCATTGTGATTGTCTTTTTAGGTCTTACCTTTGCCCTCTTACGGTATCAGGAGCTTTAAATAACAACACATCTTTAAAGATCAAAAGTAATCTGAAATCTAAACTACTAAAAAGCCAGTTCAGATTGTCAAATTCCACTAAGTGCTCTTGATAGGAATGCTATTTGCACTTAGCATACAGAACCAAAATCACATTCTAGCAGCATGAAAGCTCTAGCTAATGGCTGCTTTTTGCTTTCATGTTACTGAAGTATTACTATGATCTGGTGTCCTCATGGAACACCTCCCCTGTGAGGACAGGCTGAGAGAGCTCGGATTGTTCAGACTGGAGAAGAGAAGCCTATGGGAAGACTTCATAGCAGCTTTTCAGTGTCTAAAGGGGAGCTGTAAGAAAGAAGAGAACAGACTCTTTAGCAGAGTCTGTGGTGACAGGACAAGGAGAAATGGTTTCAAACTAAAAGAGGGGAGATTTAAATTGGACATAAGGAAGAATTTTTTTACAATAAGGATGGTGAGGCTCTGGTAGGTTGCTCAAAGATGAGGTGGATGCCCCGTTCTTGGAGACATTCGAAGACCTATAAAGGTCCTTTCCAACTCAAAAGATTCTATGATTCATTACTACTTAGTAAGAATGTTTTACTTCATGTTATTACATCACCTCAGTAATATTCATTTCTTTTTGTTTGTTTAGCTTTGGTTTCATCTCTTCTTTGTAACAAACAGATAAACATTTATACTTTAAATAGTAGTCTTTGCAGTTAAACATATACTTTTTTTTTCAGCATAGTTATGAGATCTTAATTACAATCATATATAAGGTTAATTTTGAGTTTTCTGAGTTAATGTTATCCTACTTCAGTTGGAATTATGGATTGATGTTTCTCAGTTTCAAATGCCCTTCATTTTTTGGTATCTCTTTCGTTCTTTTGTTAATCTCTCAAAATTCTCCCTGGTTATTGGATTCAGTCTCCTAATTCCACTCAAGAAACATTTGATATCTGATTTTAATTTAACTAACCACTCTGTGGAGATATTTCTCGCATTCTGCATGATCAGCTTCTACAGCAGGGTTCTCATACCAGTTCTGGTTTCCACTGCTTTCATATTTCAATTTCTTTGTTAGCACTTCATTCTCTTTGTGTCTGCTTAATCAGAATAACCCTCTAAATTGTACAGATCTCAGCTTGTGCTAGTATTCAGTCTTTCTGCATTATGTTCTCTTTTCAGGCAGCATCTAAGCTTGTCATTTTCCAATTGTCCATTGGTTCCATCAGGACATTAGGCCTTCCCCAATGATCAAATTGTAATTTGGAGTCTACAAAGGTGAAGTGTAAGCCTTTTTGGCTGCAGCTGAGAGGTGTGAATAGCCTTTTCCCTTATGTCGGTCTTCAGTTAGCAATCCAGTAGAGACGTTGGAGATGCTGTTCCAGTACATTGAATCTTTTCCAGTTTCCTCACTGTGTCTGGATGTTTGTGCTAAGTTTAGCTGCTTTCTTGCTACACTATTTCCTACCACTGCATATATGCATGAATTGCTTTGCTGTTGCATCTTACCTTGTCATATCCCTTTTGCCACATTTTCTTAAGAAGAATGTTTGAGTGTAAATACTGATAAAAATAACAGTGTTACAGCTTCTGAGTCATCTGCTCACTTCGATATTTTCGATTTTGCTGTTAATTATCTATGATGGCTGATATTGCTCTTCCCCTCATATATGCTGCTAGCTCATTCCATGTTGTTCTGGTATCTATAGGCCCTAAAACTAAATACACTCCAGGCCATCCATTGTAGTTATTTAAATACATCTGTGTATTTAAACATTCAAGGCTTGTCAATTTCTACTGTGCTGCCATGCACAAAACATTAAACAGAGCCTGACAACCTTTTTCTGCTTCTATTATGTCTCTGCTATCTTTTGGCTTATGACCATCATAGTGGTATAATCAATCATATTCTGGTCTTCCTTCTTAAGTTCATACAGTGTTATGCATCCACTCATAATAATCAGTTTCAGATCTTCTGAAAGAATCTGGAGCCCAAAGATTTAGTCCCTGCTTAATACCGTTTCCTCACCTCATCTATTTCTTCCGAAAAGTAGAAATGGATAGATGTTCCTAGGAGCAGAGTTGGAATGTCCAGCTGGGGACTGGGTTTGTTTTCATCCTTCCTAAGAATCACAGAATTATAGAATCATTAAGATTGGAAAAGACTAAGATCATCTAGTCCAACTGTCAACACAACACCACCATGCCTACTGAACCATGTCCTCAGAGCTTTGGTTCCTCTGTCAATGGCCTTGTCCTTTACTAATAAGCAGTAAGAAAAACAAAGTCT